TACATCCTTTTTAGCTTTTCTCATCACTTGGCGTCCGTCGTCCGTCGTCGTTAGCTTTTTACAAAAATCTTCTCCTCTGAAACCACTGGGCCAAATTTAACCAAACTTGGCCACAATCATCATTAGGGTATCTAGTTTAAAAAATGTGTCCGATGACCCCGCCAACCAACCAAGATGGCCGCCACGGCTAAAAATAGAACATAGGGGTAAAATGTAGATTTTGGCTTATATCTCTGAAACCAAAGCATTTAGAGTAAATCTGACATGGGTAAAACTGATTATCAGGTCAAGATCTATCTGCCCTGAAATTTGCAGACAAATCTGACAACCTGTTGTTGGGTTGCTGCCCCTGAATTGGTAATTTTAAGGAAATTTTGCAGTTTTTTGGTTATTATCTTGAATATTATTATAGATAGAGATAAACTGTAAACAGCAATAATGTTCAGCAAAGTAAGATCTACAAATAAGTTGTCATGACTAAAATTGTCAGTCGACCCCTTTAGGAGTTATTGCCCTTAATAGTCAATTTTTAACAATTTTTTGTAAATTTTTGTAATCTTTTACAAAAATTAATCTTCTGCTCTGAAACTACTGAGACAAATTTAACCGTACTTGGCCATAATCATTATTAGGGTATCTAGTTTAAAAAAATTGTGAGATGACCCCGCCTTCCAACCATCATGGCCGACTTGGTTAAAAATAGAACATAGGGGTAAAATGCAGTTTTTGGAAAATGACGCTATCAGCGGCATGTTTCCGATACCATTGACCAGAACTAACGGAAGTTGATTATGCCTCCGCCTACCGCACTCGGTTTCATATTTACTATTTTACATACTAACTGGAATCTGCTTGTATTACGCTACACTCGAACAAAGTCTTTGTTAAAGTGTTGTAGTCGGACGGGAACCAGTTTACATACGTTATTTTATTTACCAAAAAGATATCTTGACCTGTCCATATGTTTTTTGTTATTAAATGGTATTTGGAGCTATCCCTTTGTTATATTTTTCATATTTATTCGAGCTTTCACTTTTATGCACATGTCTTACAATCGTAAACAATCGGTATGTATACATGATAAATAGATCTGTTTTGTTATGGTGTTGGACTTTTAACCCTCCAATGATCAGCAATCGCTAGACAAAATAGTTCTCCTAAATGTCAGCTTTTCATGCCATTTCAACTTTACAATCATTAAAAAAGTAATAATCGGAATCATTTTGATATCCATTGGATAGAAACTGGTCTTTATCAAGATTTACGAAGATTTTAATAATCGGAAATTAGTAATACGGTTATACCCACGCGGTGCGTATGAATCTTTGTTCACAAAGTTATAGCAGCAGAGTCTGTAACTGTATCATTATTAATTAACTACACTGTTATTGTACTTAAAATGATGAAAACTGCATATGCAATATGTGATGTCAACTCGGCCAATACAGATTTTTTTTCCGTATTGGCCGAGTTCTGATCCGGCCAAAACAGGATTTCGGAAAGTCTCTAGTTTTTAGATCGTAAGTCACGATAAACTCAAACTGAAAGTAAACAGTTGTTTGTACGACGCAGTTTTTATTTACTCACCATAAACAAGCTGAAACGTTCAGTATGGCATATATTTTAGGTTAAAGACGGTCCCATTCATTTGAAAAGCATTTTGAAAGTAGACGATGGAAATATTTCAGGTTTAGGGAACGAGTAAATTATCACAAAGTTCATTTCTTGACGACCTCATAATTTCATCATGTCGATTTTTACTGTTCACTTTCGCTTCTCATGTTTTGTAAACGGTCTTTTATTTTTAAACCCGAACCAGGCATATGCATTCTGTAATTGCGCAAATCTTCGTTCTTTGGTCAATTGGCTTATGGATAGTTGTATCAATTTCAACTCTTACATTATTTTTTTTTTTAAATATATTTGCATTACACATGCAATGGCAGTACCTTTCCAATTACTATTTATGTGTTGTGTCTAAATTAAAGTTGTAACACTTTATAGTGACTGGAAAGGGTAGAAAAATTCATCAGATGAGAAAAGGCTGAAGATGCATGGAAACGGCACCAAATCATTAGATATTGCATCTTATAAAAAGAAACTGAGATTTGGATAGTTCCACTTCAAGGTAAAAATGTTTATCTCTTGTGAAATGAAATGAAAAAATATTGTAACACTGTAGTTAATTAATAAAGATACTATTACATGTATTTCTGAATTGGCCTTATTGTTGGTCCTCGGCCAGCAGTATTGGCCTTCGGCTTCGCCTCAGACCAATACACCAAGACATGGACCAATAACAAGGACAATACAGAAATACTTACGCAATAATATTATAGAATGACAGTATGGTTCAATAGCGGGAATCAGCCCCTCAACTACTTTTTACATAAATATTAACTTCTGGCTTCAACTCCTTGTTCGTCTTGTCTGGAGATCTTGTTGTAGTTCCAGTTAGGCAAGCATTTTAGAGACGTATCCCGTCCATCCTCTCTTGACTTGTAATTTCTGGTGATAGATTTTGCCGCTTGACGTTGTATCTTTTCAAGCTTCTTTTTTTTTTTGTTACCGTGTAGGGGTCCCATACTATGGCTCCATATTAAATTGTAAGATCCATTCCTAAAGGTCTAGATCATTGTTCTAATCTGACACAAATTTCAATAACTGGAATGCTACCCGAGTTGAATATATGGTGACCTACTAGAACAGCATTATCACTATTGGAATTGTGTTTAATACCATGATTGTTCAATGTCATTAACTTAAATGGAGACAGACATTTGACCTGAAAGGTGGTGTGGGAGTGCAAAATCAAAAACTAACTGACTATGATATATGGTTAAAGAATGAATATCAATTACATGGGTCAACATGGTCAAGGGCAGAGTTGTTATGAAATAACAATATGGCAGAGAAGTGGTTTCAAGTTTCATATAAAGCGACCTGACTGACATGAAATAAAAAATCAAAGGAGTATCCCTATTTGTCTAATCTTCAAGGTGAAATAAAACTAGTAAAACAATATTATACTATTGTCTAAATCTACAGAAATATAATTTGCTTCAAGTAACAGAAATAACTAGGTCACTAGTAACTTATTTAATGAGTATGTGGGGTATAAGAGCTTGCTAACAACAGGCTCTTCATAATCATTTGGTTTGAAAAGGATACTAGTAGTCTATATTCTTGATTTAGAAAAATGTAATTGCAAGACAAAAATCACATTACTTAGAATACTTTAGATCATTCAGGTAGTCTTTATTTATATGTACAAAAGAACAGCCAGTAGTCATTGGATATTGTAGATCATTCAAATAGTCTTGACCTATTTATTAGTACAAAAGAACAGCCTGTAGTCATTGGATATTGTAGATCATTGTGGTAGTCTTGACCTATTTATTTATAGAAAAAAACAGCCAGTAGTCATTGGATACTGTAGATCATTCAGGTAGTCTTGACCTATACATTTGTACTAAAAAAACAGCCAGTTGTCATCTTCACATAACACACACATATACGAATATCAATTATATGCTTATGAGACATGTTGGAATGTTAAACTAATTACGGTATGTGAAAATCAAGACTTGCATAAAAAATATCACAATATTAGAGACAGTGGCGTCATTTTTCCTCCGAGCTTTCAGCTCTTTGATTGGTTTATATCTCTGAAACTAAAGCATTTAGAGCAAATCTGACAGGTGGCAAAAATGTTCATCAGATTTAGATTTATCTGCCCTGAAATTTTCAGACGAATCCAACAACCCATTGTTGGGTTGCTGCCCCTGAGTTAGTAATTTTACAGAAATTTTGCAGTTTTTTGTTATCTTAGATATCATTATAATATCTAATATCTAATACTATTAATTAAGATTATAACCTTATTTTACATGATTTCCAAAGCATCAGTAAATACAGGTGAGCGACACAGGCTCTTGAGAGCCTCTAGTTTTAATAACCCCCACTAATTTCAACACCCCTGAACAGTGAAATTTGATGCAAACAGTAGAATTTTATTACATAATCTGTAAGATGAAACCTTGAATTTTACAGGAAAAATACTCCCACTGCTTGGAAAAATCTGTTAAGAAAGTATCAGTTCATTATGTAAAGCCATTATTATAGCATTTTTTCAACTAAAATAGAATTTGCATCTAAATGATTGCATCAAAGGCATAAACCTTGCTACATAAAAGAAGCAAAAAGGTCATTTTTTTCAATTTTACTAATGAAAAGATATTATCTAAACCTATGTGTTTAAAATTTTGGTAAAACTACAAAATCACAATTTGTGACAAAACTTCGAAATTGCTACTCAAATAAGTGATTTAAAAATCACTTATTTCAATAAGTTCCCTGACTGCTTATAACATTCAGAAATGGAAATTCAGATTAAAAAGTACTATTAACATTTGAGCGGCATGACCAAAATGACTCCCATTAGAAAATAGTCTGGCTAATCATGCAAATAACAGGCTTTCATGTACCAAGTCAGGAATATGACAGTTGTTTTCCATTCGTTTATTACCTCAAAACACAGATCAAGTTTGAATTTTGATGGCGTCACTTTTACCGTTCTAGAGTTATGCCCCTTTACAAATGGAAAAGTTGCTGAAATTTTCATTCCGTTCTCTAACTTTAGTTTGCCTCAACCAAGTGTTATGAAACTTATTCACAATGCTTATTACCACAAAATTCAGATCAAGTACAAATTTGGGAAGCGTCACTTTTGCAGTACTGGACTTGTATGTCCCTTTATAACATTATATGCAAGTGGGGGCATCATCTGTGTCCCATATGGACACATTCCCCATTTATTTCAAACTATTATGAATTAATTCTAAAAACTCTTACACTGAGCTTTGTATGGAACTATGGAAGGTTTAGACCTCTTCTTTTTTCATTTATAACAATTATATAAAAATTCAGAGAAAGTTTAACCAATATTTAAATAAATGTGATGTTTAACTGAAATTGAGCTATTTTATACTTTCAGTTTGAAGATCTATTTGTATATATCTATTCAAGGTCCAGTCAATTTATTACTATAGGTAAGTGAACATAATAGTCTGTCAAATTGTATTGGAATGTTTAATAATTTGGTTTATCAAATGAACTACAATTCATGTGAATATTAAAATTCTAAAAGGGGAGATAATCAAGAGATAGCTGGTTCATTCTAGTAAGTATTATTACACCAGTCCAGTGCTTTTTAATTCTTTTTTAACAGGATTAACACTTTTCACTCTGCAACTTCTATACAAAAATAACATGAAGTAATTACATATTTAATTTCATTTACGAGTAAAAAGCTAATAAAACATTGCAATCATTACAATTGATTGATTGTTGGTTGCTTAACGTCCATCAATCATTATAATATAAACTGTATATAACAATAGAGTTGTTAACTAAGAAATCAGCTGTATGAATGAAAGATGGGAGGGAGATAGTGTTCTCACTAAGGCTGTCAATGAGTCATGGATTCATGAAAATCGGTCTGGACTCATCATTTTCAAAACTGATGAATATAAAGATGCATAAGGATCATAAAATATTGTATCAACTAAGCATGCATATAATCATATCATTTTATAGCAAATGTTTAAAAATAATCAAAATTAGATGTCATTTCCTTTCTCTATTTTATCATGATGACTGAAACAATAATTATGTAGCAATAAACAGTGAGAAAAAATTATATTGCTACATAATTAATGACGATTCAATAGTCCTTTGTCAGAATCCTAGGAGGTCTATATGTCAATCAGACAGCAACCAATCAATGAGAGATGTCAACCTGGTATTCATTGAGTCTTTTTTACATGTTATTATTTCTACTTTAATGCAAACATTTATATATCCATATTGAACATCTATTATTGATATTTATTAGACCCTTGTCCAGTCAATGTGACCCTCGTCCAGTCATTATCCTTGTCCAGTCAAGTTTTTATCATAGGTAAGTGTACATTATTTGTAAACTATATATGATATATATCCATCTGGTTAAACATTTATAATGAGAAATCCCTTTATTATCAGATTTAAAAAAAAAGGTTTATACTTGATTTAAAAGCGTCATCCAATGAAATTGCTTAGGGCTTTTCCAGAATTATTTGAATTGGAGTGGCAGGGGTGGGAGGGTGGGGACTTTTATTCAAATTTGATGTGTGGTGGTAATTTTAGATAGAAAGACTTAACAATTTCATTATTAAAGTAATCAAGTAAAATTTTATGCATGATGGTGATAATTAAAAAGTGCATTCGTATGACCTTTCCCCCTGCCAACCAACATGGCTGACATGGCTCAAAATGGAGTTTATGGGTAGAATGCAAGTTTTGTCTATTATCTTGAAAACTGCTATAGGTCGAGAAATTCTGACAGGCAGAAATGTTCAGAATGTTTACATCCACCTACTGTCCACTTGAATCGATCAAAATTGGCCTACAACTACTTATAGGAGTTATTACCCTTGAATGACCAATTGTACCATTTTTTCCTGCAAGGTCTACATGTCTGTCACACTGCATTCACCTGACCAGGACTTCATTTCATGGATCAGTGATCAAGGTTAAAATTTCATGATGAAGTCCATATCTCAGATACCATAAGCAATATATAGGTCAGCTATATTTGGTGTATGGAATGCTTGTTTGGTGAACATGTTTGTCTGTTAGGATTTTCAGACCTTGATCTTATTTTCATTGGTCAGTGTTAAGTGTTTGTGGTTTGGTCAGGTTCTCAGATACTATAAGCAATAGATCAGCTGTATTTTGGTTTATGATATGCTTGTAAGGAAATCATGTTTGTCTTTCCGAATGGTTTATATGACCTTTACCTTATTTTCATGGTTCATTCGTCAATGTTAATATTTCATGGTTATATAAAAATAAGGAGATGTGGTATGATTTTACATATTTTACAAATCTTTAAAAATCATATAAATGCAAAGTTTTTAGTATTTGTTAGTTGGTATTATCATTTGATATAAAAATAAAGAGATGTAGTATGATTGCCAATGAGACAACTATCCACCAAAGTAAAAATAAAGAGATGTAGTATGATTGCCAATGAGACAACTATCCACCAAAGTAAAAATAAGGAGATGTGGTATGATTGCCAATGAGACTATCTTCCAAAGTAAAAATAAAGAGATGTGGTATGATTGCCAGTGAGACAACTATCTGCCAAAGTAAAAATAAGGTGATGTGGTATAATTGCCAAAGAGACATCTATCTGTCAAAGTAAAAATAAAGTGATGTTGTATGATTGCCAGTGAGACAACTATCTGCCAAAGTAAAAATAAGGTGATGTGGTATAATTGCCAATGAGACAACAATCTTCCAAAGTAAAAATAAGGAGATGTAGTATAATTGCTAATGAGACAACTATCCACCAAGTAAAAATAAGGAGATGTGGTATAATTGCCAATGAGACAACTATCCGCCAAGTGAAAATAAGGAGATGTGGTATGATTGCCAATGAGAACTATCTGCCAAAGTAAAAATAAGGAGATGTGGTATAATTGCCAATAAGAACTATCCACCAAAGTAAAAATAAGGATATGTGGTATGATTGCCAATGAGAACTATCCACCAAAGTAAAAATAAGGAGATGTGGTATTATTGCCAATGAGACAAATATTGGCCAAAATTAAAATAAGGAGATGTGGTATGATTGCCAATGAGACAACTATCTGCCAAGTAAAAATAAGGAGATGTGGTATGATTGCCAATGAGAAAACTATCTTCCAAAGTAAAAATAAGGAGATGTGGTATGATTGCCTATGAGAACTATTCGTCAGAGTAAAAATAAGAAGATCTGCTATAGTAAAAATAAGGGGATGTGGTATGATTGCCAATGAGATCTATCCGGCAAAGTAAAAATAAGAAGATCTGCTATAGTAAAAATAAGGAGATGTGGTATGATTGCCAACGAGAACTATTCGCCAGAGTAAAAATAAGGAGATAAGGTATGATTGCCAATGAAAACTATCCGCCAAAGTAAAAATAAGGAGATGTGGTATGATTGCCAATGAGAACTATCCACCAAAGTAAAAATAAGGAGATGTGGTATGATTGCCAATGAGAACTATCTGCCAAAGTAAAAATAAGGAGATGTGGTATGATTGCCAATGAGAACTATCTGCCAAAGTAAAAATAAGGAGATGTGGTATGATTGCCAATGAGAACTATCTGCCAAAGTAAAAATAAGGAGATGTGGTATGATTGCCAATGAGAACTATCTGCAAAAGTAAAAATAAGGAGATGTGATATGATTGCCAATGAGAACTATCTGCCAAAGTAAAAATAAGGAGATGTGGTATGATTGCCAATGAGAACTATCTGCCAAAGTAAAAATAAGGAGATGTGGTATGATTGCCTATGAGAACTATCCACCAAAGTAAAAATAAGAAGATCTGCTGTAGTAAAAATAAGGAGATGTGGTATGATTGCCAATGAGAACTATCTGCCAAAGTAAAAATAAGGAGATGTGGTATGATTGCCAATGAGAACTATCCACCAAAGTAAAAATAAGGAGATGTGGTATGATTACCAATGAGACAAATATTGGCCAAAATTAAAATAAGGAGATGTGGTATGATTGCCAATGAGACAAATATCCGCCAAGTAAAAATAAGGATATGTGGTATAATTGCCAATGAGACAACAATCTTCCAAAGTAAAAATAAGGAAATGTGGTATGATTGCCTATGAGAACTATTCGTCAGAGTAAAAATAAGGAGATGTGGTATGATTGCCAATGAGAACTATCCACCAAAGTAAAAATAAGAAGATCTGCTATAGTAAAAATAAGGAGATGTGGTATGATTGCCAATGAGAACTATTAGCCAGAGTTAAAATAAGGAGATGTGATATGATTGCCAATGAGAACTATCCGCCAAAGTAAAAATAAGAAGATCTCATATATTAAAAATAAGGCGATGTGGTATGATTGCCAATGAGACAACTATCAGCCAAGTAAAAATAAGGAGATGTGGTATAATTTCCAATGAGACAACTATCTTCCAAAGTAAAAAAAGGAGATGTTGTATGATTGTCAATGAGAACTATCCGCCAAAGTAAAAATAAGGAGATGTGGTATGATTGCCAATTAGTATGGTGCCCAATGTCCAAAAAGTCTTCTAGTTAACAAGTTTAAGTTAACGGATAACACACGGCTAATTGTTTTTGCAAATTATAGGAAAATCATTATATTTTATGACTATGATTCTCGTCGTAAGTTTCCATGGTCACGATTTTCCAAATTTCGTGTTTTTACAGGGTACCTCCAGATACTGTTTTGTGCATGGAATTTTTAACATGAATAATAAAATTATTATGCTCTTTGTTGGTAATTAAAATAGTACTTATAATATAGTTTATACAATAAATATACCATATAACAAAAGTGGAAAATATTTAGGGATTATAGATTTATTCTTACGAGGAAGCTCGGAGCATCCTCCGAGGATGCTCAGAGCTTTTTAAGTAGGCTCTTCTCAGCAGTTGATGTGACAATAATTATAATTATCAATTTTAAGATGTCAATCAAATCTGTAGCACTTCTATAATAAAGAAAGTAAATCATTATAGAGGAAGCTCTATTAACACCTGTGTAAACATCTGGTCTATTCAAATAAATATCTGGCCTATTCAAATAAATATTGCTTGAAATTTTACAAATCTATAAAACAGATTATAGAATTATAAACTCTATAAAACAGAGTAAAAATAAGGAGATGTGGTATGATTGCCAATGAAAACTATTCGCCAGAGTAAAAATAAGGAGATGTGGTATGATTGCCAATGAGAACTATTCGCCAGAGTACAAATAAGGAGATGTGGTATGATTGCCAATGAGAACTATTAGCAGAGTAAAAATAAGATGTGGTATGATTGCCAATGAGACAGCTATCCGCCAAGTAAAAATAAGGAGATGTGGTATAAAACGAAGTTTGGGAAGACTTATTGTTTTTGCTCAGTTCTTATTATGTCACCCGAACGACAATGTCGGGTGACATATTGCTTTTCCTCTGTTTCTTTTTCCCTATTATTATTATTTTTCTTCCACCTAATTTTGTCCAGCAGTTTTCTCGGAGGCAATGGAACCAATCTTCATGATTGTTGAGCATAATGAGGACCACCATCAGTGGAGTTGCAGTGAAACTTTGGAACTTTAAAATGGCCGCCGTTTCCATGGAAACAGCAAAAATTTGAAAAATATTTTTTTTGTTTTTGATGACTAATTTGAGAATGCCTAACCTAAAAATCATCAAATTTTTATACAACATAGGTATCCACTATATACAGGTTTTGGATGATTTTAAGAATCATCGGAACTACTGTATTGCCATGGAACTGGGGAAAGGTTTGTCATTATAAACCTTATGGGAAAAACCTTAAAGTAGCATTTTCTCTCTTAAATTGGTAGGTCAAATCCATTGAATCTTTAATGGTATGTTCCCTCCCATGAACCAATGTGGCATACAATTTTGGGAATGGTCTTTGTTACCATGGAAACCAGCAAAAATGTCAAAAATTTCAAAATGCACCAAACTTAGTATAACTTTATATTAATGCTAACTGGCATGTATAGATAAGACTTTTGACTTTGGAATTTCCAAAATGGTCACTGTTGCCATGGAAACAGCAAAAATGTGAAAATTTCAAAATGCTCCAAATGTTCTGAAAATTTAAAGAAAGATGTATTGCCATGCATATATGTGCATTCACTGTTTAAAATTTTTGAAATGGCTGCCACTTAGTGGCAATGGGGGGAAGGGTGACATCTGCTATTGCTTGCAATGGCAAATCTAGTTATTATGTCACCCGATCGTCAATGTTGGGTGACATATTGCTTTTCCTCTGTTTCTTTTTCCCTATTATTATTATGTCACCCGATCAACAATGTCGGGTGACATATTGCTTTTCCTCTGTTTCTTTGTTATTATTATT